ATGTCACATGGATTATTTTAACGATCTCCTTGTTAGGTTTCCCTTTACATACAGTACACTTGCCAAAATTAAAAAGTTAAAAACAGGCTATACTCAAACTACACCATTGTCACATGACTTTAATATCACCATCATTAAGCTTTTGACAACTCTTTCAATGTTTATCTTAAAAAAAAATCTTCCATCAAATTCTGAGTTAGAATAGTTTGCAAGAGTGCGATTATAAACACATCCCATTTAGCCACTTGCTAGCAACTGCCATTTTCAAGACTGATGTATAATATGTTGTAGAATAAAATGTGAAAATATCCAGACCTTGCGTCAACCACATACCTTATTTAATCCACTGAACCAAAAAGCCATTCAAAACAACCTACTGACTTCAGAAAAATGAAACCAGAGGTGCTAAAATTCTAACTTGTTTGCAGGTTTTGGCATACAAAAATACATCATCCCTGAAGCATATCATAATTTCTTTTGGACTCAATAATCATGCAGTGAAATATAGTGAGTGATGTCGCAAAAGCCCTACTGTGTAAAAAAAGTTTTGCGCCATTACACTCAGATAACATGGGAAAACAAGTATATCACTAACATTCACCTGGAACAAAGGGGTGTGTGCATCACGTACACAATGCATGTATTTCACACTAAGATATTCACGCTTGGTGACAGGCTGTGAAACGTCAGAATGTTGCTGAGGGTTGGCAGTGTGAGATGCCAGCGAGCGCCACCCTCCCAATAAGTCACCACGAGGCGCAATTAGCAAAACTGTCACTCCTACCCTGCCTGGGCCGGTAATACAGACCGGCATCGAGTGTGTGAGGCAAGGGAGTGGGGGCTCTGGTGTCCATGGCAGCACCACACTAATTAAAAAAATGAGACTGCAACATGGCCTAGCTGCCACCAAAGAGCACTCATGCCAAAACCTATCGCCTACAAGAGAGTGTGCGTCGATGTGCGCGTGTGGTCAAACAGTCCCAAAATTAAGCCCATAGCTGTGTCTTTGAGTGACCTCATAGACTTTTAAAGGCAGTGGAGGTGTGAATTTATCACAGGCAGTAAAAGGTTAATGGGTATGTTTAGAGATTCTCTCGGGCTCTATCATACCTAATGGCCAAGCAGCCCATGAAGCAACAGGAAGAAACTTTCCCTTTGCTTCGAAGTAAACGGTTAAATACAGAAAACAAGTTTTTATGGCTAAATAATCATTGATTTTTTTTTTTAACTAATTTATCTATAGTTCTTAAAAGCTACAATTTTTGTATAGATTCGCAAGAATTATCCCTATTGAGCAATAAGAACAAAAAATACAAATATTTTTTTTAGTCATTTAGGGATGCACATTTTTCTGTATTAACATTTTGGATGAAAATGATTAGGCAATAACTGTTATGCTAAATCAAACAACAGATAAATAGCCAACTTTAAAATTTGAAATAAATTAAAAATAAAACACTAAAAAATTAAATCAATTGTTGTAAATGCTACAATCGGTTTTAGGCATCAGGGTCAATCCATTTCAAGTGGTCCAATGGAGCTCGCTTGACCATTTTTAATTTTCCTCATTTGGTTTTGCAATACATAGAGGTAATTATTATAAAAAAAAGTTTTTAAACTTTAGAATTTTTTTGATTTACTAAACATTAGGTGCGTGTTAATAGGGGGATATTAGATAATAATAGGGGAAATTAAATAATAGGGTAAATTAGCATAAACAAGAAAAAAAATAAATATCGACAGATATGATAAACAATAGGGCATCAGTAGTCAGATTCTTTGTTTAGCCAAACTAAAGATTTTCAGCTACTTTCTTCCTGTCAGCCATGTAACGCTTTCAACCTCTAAAAAAATGTCTCTCACTTTGCTTTTTTTTCCCGTGTGAATGGACCCTAAGAATGGCATTTTTCTACCATTATTTTTGACAATTTTGACAACACTGAGATAACATGCTAGTGTTCTGTTTACAACCATACAACTGTATCCTTGTAGGGCGGGGTTTTGAAAATAGGGGTGTGTCCAAATCAGTAAATGATTAAGAACGGCTAACATACAGCACCTTTAATTCAGCTCTAGACATTCTCTCAAAAGACAATTAACAGAGAGTGCTGGAAGAAGAAGCAAAGGTTGTCAAGGCTAAATGCTAAACAAAACCGTATAGACACAGCTTGGTCAAGAAGAAAAAGGGGAAAAGAGTTTCTCTTGTCGGATTCAGGTGGGCTGTCTGAGTGTGAGCAGTCCCAAACATAATTCCAGCCTGCGGAAAGAGGGATGATACATGCGGAGACAGAGGTGTGGAAGACAGCGTCTCTCTTCCCCCTTACCTCCAGCTCACACCCCCCAAACAGACCCCTAATTGAAAGACGAGAGTAGCCCAGACCTTGACAGGCGGGAGGTCAGTCTAATTGCTGCTGGCCATATTTAACATTAAGATAATCAGCCCATTAATTACCCTTTGGATCATTAAATCAGTCGCTTGCAAAATGAAATTTCGAGCTCTATTACTCACTTGAGAGACCACGAGGGAGGGTTTTCATTTATCAGCCACCAATCCTGGATGCAGAGCGCACACACCAATGCCCGAGCTGTTCACCAGGACACAAGCTCGCTGAATATCAGCATTTAGCGACAAGACAACACTTCAGAGTCTCAGTGCTGAGACATGCTAATCGAGAAGACCATGAATTTCATATGCATCGGAAACAAATCATGTCGATAACTCAATATTTTCAGAGATGTAAAGAGAATATGCATTAGATTATATTCTTATTTCAGATTTCACACATTTATTATGGTTAAATGTGCTCTTATCAAATCAGATTGAAGCCAGTTGGACGGTTACAAGCTAAATCAATTCAACTGCCCAGTTAAAGACGGGAAGACAGAAAATTACACGCAACAGAGCACTGACAAAATCACATGCGTGCACGATCACAGGGTGTATAACGTAGTCTTTAAAATGCAAGTCTAATTCTACATGATTCTCAGTGATTTCAAGTATCACTGATTTTTTTAGGTTTTTTATCTGACAGAAATTGAATCTTTTAAAAAAAGTAAATAATAATACTTTTTATAATAATAATAACAATTTTTAGACAGCATTGATCAAAAATGTAAAATAACATCTTAATTTTCAGCAGCCATTAGTATTGGTCACATGATCGCTCAGAAATCATTCTAATAGGTTGATTTGGTGCTCAAAAAACATTTCTTATCAATAGCTCAAAGTTGCCATCCAGATTTTGCGTGGTTTATTATTGACAGAGAATATTCGTAAAAAAAAAAAAAACATTGAGAAATTTGCTGTTTCCAGCCTGATTCCATCCAATTGGCTTTTTACCGATACAATGATATGTGCAATGACACCATCACTAAAAAAAATATATATTTTGTTGTATCGCAAAAAAATTTGCCCTTGAGCCGTTACCATACATAATTTCATGTACAGCGTAAATTATATAGGCTAGTAGCCTATCTGTTCTTAATCTCTTGGAAACAAAACAAACCCCATTTCTCGAAAAAAGTGTTTCCAAACAAATTTTTGCGACATTTGAAGTAACAATATAAAATGTCATGTGTCGAGTTTTTTTTGTATTTTGTTATTGTCATGTGACACCACATTTATTTGCGTTAAAGCCCCTTTTCTCGACAAAAAGTGTTTCCAAACAAATGTTTGACATTTGAAGTAACAATATAAAATTTATGCACTAAAGTTAAATGGAAAAAGATTGTGCCGACACTCTTTTTCGTTTTTTTTTTTTTACCTTATATCTTCACTGCTTAGCCTATAAATGTATTACACAGCAACTATTAATGTCACTAAGTAAAAGCCAGTTCCAGTCAAAAACATGAAGGAATCAAACTGAATTACACTTCGTCTATTTCAGCAGGAGTATTGAGGATGAGTAGAGAGATGACTGCAGGGCTGTGTCAAGTGACTGAGGTTAATTGAGATAATATTGACCCTCTCTGTAATCTCCTCTTCCCACTCAGGGGGCCACATGGCTTCACATACATAAATAAACAGCTACATGAGGAACTATAATCGCATTAGCACATCGACAACGGGCGGCAGAAAATGCCGGATCCATATCGAAAGATTTTCGGAGCGGAGGGGAGTAATTAAAAGGTGCTTCAGGTGACTAATGAGGCCAGCGTGGAATGGGAAGTCGATATTTTGGTGGCCAGCAGTCAGCACTAATTTGTTATGATGGCTGGTGGGACTAAAGCCTCTCTGCCGATAATTACGCTGCTAAAGATGGAGGAGCAAGGAAAAGGAAAAATCTGATTTTAGGTTTTTCCACAGAACTCCACACACATATGCCATAAGGCGGATTGAAAAAATGACAAATATCAACTGCTGGACTGCTAAGAAAATATGTTTATGTCATGGAAAAGAGTGTGTTTTCCAGGGTTCCTACACATTTTCCATTTTAAAATTTCATATTTTCCCTGTAGATTTTTATGGTTGATACGCTTTTACACGTTCACTGACTGCATAATTTTTTTTATATTGTTATATATAGTTTTAAAATAATATTGTCACTTATCAAATTTATTCAGAATTTAAATTATTTAAATTATTTTCAGCATTATATTCAATATATAGTACAGTCATCTGTATATTAAATTTCTCTGGCGCAGCGCAAACCCACTGTCACATGTTCACTGCATGCACTGGTTTTCTAGAAGTGATAACATGCTTACATGATGAGAAGAAACCTAACATGCTTTATAACCTGCGTATATTCACCTGCTTATATGACAACTGCTTGAAACTGTAATTGTGGTTTGATGATGCATGATCACCAAACAGCAAAGAAAAATCATGGTGGTACTCACTCCTCTACGCTAATGTTTTTAAAAAAAGTAAAAATCAGCACCTTGTTTACATGAAGTGCAAATAATGACAGAAATGATATTGATAAATAGAATGCATTGATTTTGAGAAAAGCCTAAACAGATACTTGTTTGAAAGAGGAAATTATGTAAATGCGTACCTGTTGGCATCAGGGGCAGGCTTTAGGCGTCCTTGAGCATTGGCTTCCCACACACTATTAGCCAACTCATTGCCGATGGCTGACATGACCTTGATGAGCTCTAGAGGCCACTCGTCCAGGTCCAAAGAGCGGACACGAGACAGGTGAGTACCCAGGTTGCGATGAATGCCTGAACATTCTATACAGATCAAAGCCCCCAGGTTCAGACTGGCCCAATCAGGGTCTAAAAAGCCAGATAAACAGAGACAGAAACAGTCCTTTAGTTTATATACAGCATAACCACACACATACCCTATTTTTTCCATATGGAATGACAGAGATGGACATTCTGGGTGTTCAGTACATCATTAAATCATAATGTACATAACAAAAGGTACATGCAGATCTCAGTTTATAACAAAACTCACTCTGGGCTTCACAATCCACACAGCGCGTGTTTCCTCTCATGTTCCTGACAGACTGCAGCGCGATGGCTTCTGATTGGCTGCTCAGACGAGACTGTGGGCACATTCACGCAAGTTAAAGTTTATTTGAATGGTAATGACTTATAAAGCATATTATGAAGCATCATTAGACAATTCTGGCTACACAGCAACATGTCACCCTGCATTTCATGCTGAAATGAGATTCAAAAGCAGGGAAACTAAACGAAAAGAATAGAGGCACTCGGTAGAAGGTCCAGGGAAATGCAATTTGCCCTGGCCTGAGGCATAAACACACAGTGGGTTGAGAGTTAAGACTGTAGCTGTGAAGCAGGAATGTAATACTGCAAAAAGGTAATATTAGAACGAAAGTAATTACAATTTCTAAATGTGTGCATGAATGCATGTATGATATACATACTGTTTAGTCATATGTAAATATATTCATACAATAAGGAGGTGTATAATTTTAATTATCTTTTGGGCATGATACATCATCAGCACTTTGATAAAAAGAATGTCAGCAAATGAGGAGATCCATAGAAAATTTTAGAGAAGGAAAAAAACATACATTATTATTATCATCATTATAATTATTTTTACTTGAAAGTTTTTTTGTTTGTTTTATTTTGTTTTACTCGTAAGGTTAACTATAAAACTTCTTTGGAATATTCTTTGCAAAAAGTGTTATGAAAATAATTTTTGTCTTTAATACTGTGTTGGATCACATTACTTTGGAAAACAAATGTTTTTCTTTTATCAACAAGAAATGCAGCAGTTTAAAAAAATTTATAAAAATGAATCATGTAGTAGTTTTTTTTTTTAGCATTTTTATTCCCTTATGATATTTTTTACTTTATACTCCCCCATCCCTGTATAGAAGAGGTGTATTCAGATTACTGTATGTATGAATTTATATTCATACTGTATGTATGAATATGTACATTTTCTACCTTCTGTTTGTTGCTTTCACAGGACTGTAGACTCGCCAGTATCTGGCTCTCAATAGCCTGAACCCATGCGTCCCGCTCCTCATAGGACGTTGCCTCAAAATTCCAGGTCTGTCCCGTCAGAGAAACGATGATGAACTCAAAGTTGTCCTCTTGTTCTAGATCAGATGGGAGAAAATAGTCAAGATGATTACTAATCAACAGCTACAACAACAGAGAAGCCGCATTTTCCCATTAAGTAATGCACGTGATCTTTGAATATTTCGGTCTTTTTCTGTTTGTTTGTTTTGAATTTACAATTTTCTCAGTGCATCTTAATAAAATTATATGAATGAATAACTCAAACACTTTAGTTGTACTGTTCTAGAATAAAATTCACAAGGACGGATTCTCGCCCCTGTAGAGCACCTGTTAGCTGCGGGACACACTCCGCAAACCCCTGACCTGGGGGGCTTGCCCCGCGACCCTTGTCAGGATATGCCACTAATTACAAACCAGACCAGACCAGAGTCCCGATCTTTCCAACCGTGTGGCTGGTCCCATCCACAACGCTCCCTAGGCAAACTGACATATGGATCTGCTATCCAGGGCCCTGGTTAGGTTAATGGGCCAATCACGAGACAATTAGGAAAATGTGTGTGTGTGTGAGAGTGAGTGAGAGTGAGAGCAAGAGCCCCCTTTTCAAGACTTTATCTCTGGAGTTTGAATATGGAGACATGGAAGGAGGTTATTTAACGGCACTGAGGGTCAACATTTGGAAAGTGTTAGGAACAAAAGGCCATTGACTGGGTGATCAGAGGGGACAGCAATGGAAGGGGCACGCAGATGGCTCGAACAGAGAACCTGCATTGATGAGATGTGGTGGTGTGTCACAATCAAAGGGATTCCACCCGAAACACGATCTGAGGCAGAAAGAGATCACACACTTTACACATTCTGTTTATAATTTACTCTGGAGGGGCAATTACATAATGAAGAAGTAATCAGGGAAGTAATACCCCTCCACACACACACAAAAGAGGCATCCCTAAGGCCAAAATGCCACACGAAGTGGAAAACCCCACACTCCCGATGGCATCTGAAGGGCCAATGAGAAACAGGAACAGGAAACAACCTGGAAACTCTGCCATTCTAGTATAAACTCTACAATATAATCTCTCACGAACAGCTGGTATCCCTGGAAGATAAACCTACACTACCAGTCAAAAGTGTGGAATAATTCAGATTTCCTGATGCTCTGGAAAGATTTTTTTATGCTCAACAAGGGTGATCAAAAATACAGTATACAACAACAGAGAAGCCGCATTTTCCCATTAAGTAATGCACGTGATCTTTGAATATTTCGGTCTTTTTCTGTTTGTTTGTTTTGAATTTACAATTTTCTCAGTGCATCTTAATAAAATTATATGAATGAATAACTCAAACACTTTAGTTGTACTGTTCTAGAATAAAATTCACAAGGACGGATTCTCGCCCCTGTAGAGCACCTGTTAGCTGCGGGACACACTCCGCAAACCCCTGACCTGGGGGGCTTGCCCCGCGACCCTTGTCAGGATATGCCACTAATTACAAACCAGACCAGACCAGAGTCCCGATCTTTCCAACCGTGTGGCTGGTCCCATCCACAACGCTCCCTAGGCAAACTGACATATGGATCTGCTATCCAGGGCCCTGGTTAGGTTAATGGGCCAATCACGAGACAATTAGGAAAATGTGTGTGTGTGTGAGAGTGAGTGAGAGTGAGAGCAAGAGCCCCCTTTTCAAGACTTTATCTCTGGAGTTTGAATATGGAGACATGGAAGGAGGTTATTTAACGGCACTGAGGGTCAACATTTGGAAAGTGTTAGGAACAAAAGGCCATTGACTGGGTGATCAGAGGGGACAGCAATGGAAGGGGCACGCAGATGGCTCGAACAGAGAACCTGCATTGATGAGATGTGGTGGTGTGTCACAATCAAAGGGATTCCACCCGAAACACGATCTGAGGCAGAAAGAGATCACACACTTTACACATTCTGTTTATAATTTACTCTGGAGGGGCAATTACATAATGAAGAAGTAATCAGGGAAGTAATACCCCTCCACACACACACAAAAGAGGCATCCCTAAGGCCAAAATGCCACACGAAGTGGAAAACCCCACACTCCCGATGGCATCTGAAGGGCCAATGAGAAACAGGAACAGGAAACAACCTGGAAACTCTGCCATTCTAGTATAAACTCTACAATATAATCTCTCACGAACAGCTGGTATCCCTGGAAGATAAACCTACACTACCAGTCAAAAGTGTGGAATAATTCAGATTTCCTGATGCTCTGGAAAGATTTTTTTATGCTCAACAAGGGTGATCAAAAATACAGTAAAATTGTGAAATATTATTATAATTTAAAATAACTGTTTTCTATTTAAGTATATCTTAAAATGTAATTTATTTCTGTTTGCAAAGCTGAATTTTCAGCAGCCCTTACTCCAGTTCAGTGTCACATGATCCTTCTGAAATCACTCTAATATGCTGATTTGATGCTCAAGTAACATTTCTTATTATTATCAATGATATGATGACAACAGAAGTGACAGAAGCAAGCAAATACGGGAGCCAAGAGGGCTCACACTTTGTATATCCACAGTCTGAGCTTTCTCTCACGCAGACACAGAACATACATGTTCTAACCATACATTCCAGAAGGCTGTTGGCTGTAGTCTTTGCAGTGTGTTCAAAAGCAACTTTTCGGCCCAGACACAGGCAATATGATGCAACACACCAGTCAGTTTTTGTCGATACTAGTTCTTTGATGTCGGTTTGGTGTGTCTGGGCCTTAAGTGGGAAGTTCTTGCTAGAATAAGCAGTAATGTGGTCCAGATTTTATGCTGATAGTCTGGCTCTGTGAATCAATCATTCATCTAAAAGCAAGTTAAAAACAAATTTATCAATTGTATTCATAGCTTATTTGTTCTTCTTCACATTAACAAGTCTTTAACCCCCATTTGTCTGTGAGAGTTCTCTTCCAGCTATACAATGTTCTGAGACAGCTCTTTGAATATTCTCCCTGTGAGGCCATTTCACAAGTTTAATCAGCGGGAAATCTGTGCAGCCACACCATTTCCTCTCCTTCAGTCAATCGCAGGCCTAATTGGACTCCTATCATACAAGTCATATTAAAGGTCCCGCCCTCACCCCTGTAAAAGAGCCTTGTGTTCAAATCCCAAAATTCCTCCCTTTACGGAAAGACATGCTTGGCAGCCGGAGTGCTTAAACCTTTCTGGCCTCAGAAAAGGGATCTGTAGGAAAGAGATCTTTCCTGTTCTGGTTCAAAGGAACAAGCAGAAATTAGAAAATGTGCTCATTTACAGAAAAAGTCAACTCAAAACATCAACAAAAAGTGACTGGGGAGTCTGGGCCTATTATTTATTCATTTAAAGGTTTTTTTATTAACATTTGCAAGGTTTGGGGGCTGGTGGGATCACTGGAGCATCCCAGCCTAGATTAGACCCACCCTTCAAAGGCACCGGGCCCTCTGGGGTCAGCAGCAATGTTCTCACCCTAATTAAATCGCAGTGCTGTTGGGGAGAGGGCGGTATTTGACAATTATGAAAAGCAACAATGCAGAAAGACGATATTTGGAGGCAAATATGAAGATTGGCTCCGCCTCCTCCCCTTAGCACACAATTAATAAGAAAACAATTGTGTAATACAAAAACTGCGATGACAGGGCATCAGGCTGCCACCCCTCCCCTCTATTTCGCCCTTAAACTTTAAAATGGGGCAGCTATCATTCATCGGGTGCCTGGTACTGCTCTCAATATTCCACAAGCCACTAATAGGGCAATCATTATGTTTCGCACAATTTAGACTGAAAGTATCCAATTACTTTCATGCTTTTCTATTCTTGCGCTGTAATATTGCAGCGGCAAGGAAATTTGTGAACTCTGACACAGGCAACCTTTACTGACAAACGGCACACAATCAACTCGAAAAGCAAGAATGCAGCGTGAACAGAAATGAGGCAGGGGGTGTTACCTCCACACAGCCCAGACGGCAGTGCTCGGGGGTACGGTGGAAGAGTTGAATGGTTGGAAACACAAATTAACCGAGCGAAATGTCAAAGCACACAGTATTGCTTTGTGACACAGGTCATTAATTCCCATATTATCCCCTCCCCTTTCAAGCATCCAGCATTAATAACCTGGCAAATATTACAGGAGTTATTCACATCCAGGGAAAAATGGGAACAAATAAATAAAGCAGAGGAGGGGTGGAGTCACGGGAAAGGGGGCGTAGGAAGGGGAGTGGCCAAAGCGAACGTCACCTCCCACAATGAGTCCAATATCACCAAATGACACCATCCAATTTACCATCACTGCACTAAATCATCGAAACTCAAACACGACACTTTCACACGTACAAACACGATTATGGAAGCAAAGCATCATTTTGCAAATCGTTACATGCTCTAAAAAAAAGGTAAGTGCCGTGCAGGGAGTGTTGCGGGGGTGAATGGTCAGGGAGGACAGAAGGATAAAGCATAATCATGGGGTCTCAGCACATGTGTAAGGGGCTTGTCTGAAAATAAAAGAGGGGTACGCTGACTTCCCCCTCGGTCTGTTTTCTGGAGCTAGTTACCTTCAGCGTTGGAGGCACTGCTGTAAATGTTGCGCAGACTACCAACGCGATTTAGTTTCCATGCCCTATGTTTGGCTGCATCCGATGACAGGCAGAGGAATAGGTGGAGAGAAAGAAAAAAAAAAGAAAAAAAACAAATGAAAGGAGTGGAGAACGTAGAAGAGCCACAAAGATAAATATTTGGGAAATGAACAGGAAGTATCACAGAAGTGAAATAGAAATGACTGAGAAAGGCAGGTTGAAAACAAAGGATGAACTGCAGTCAGCAGTTAAAAGTGCAAATGTTCAAACAAATGAGAATTATACAGAAATGTTTCATTGGCTAATGAAGTCATTGGGTTTGAAGCAGGGGTTGAAAACATATTGCATTAGGTTAAAAAGGCATAATAATGCACCGTTTGAGTGGAAAACTGCAAGACAAAACAGGTTATTTTAAATGTTATCAAGTAGAGTGTCTAAATGAAAAATAAAGATGAATTAATAAATGTGTGCATTTCATAAAATATGAAAAAAAAAGAGTAGAGTAAAGAGTGTTTTTGTCAACTATGGCACTTTTGGCCCTGTAGACACTAGTATAATTTCTCCACTAACAATGTCTAATAGTAAACATAAATGCATCACAAGATTCTAATTTTATCTTAATGTAAAATTCCCACCACCATGCAATTCCAACACACCAAATCATGCACTGTCTTTAACAGCATTCTGTGATGGAAATGACAATGGTGTAAGTGACGCATTGTAACATTTGCATAACTTGACAAATTTACTGTCTGACTGGAAATGTTCACAAAAATACTGTTCACGTTATATTTACTTTCTTAGTAAAAACACTTAAATACTTGAGATGACGTTTATATATAAACTTCGATAATCTTTATGCATTTTGTATTTGCACATCTTATAATCAATGTGTTTATTTCACCATGTGTTTGTTTATTTCACACTTGTTTGAATGTTGAAATTTTCATATTTTAAGACTGAAAGTCTGGAACTGGGACATGGGTAAAACAAACAAACAAAAAACTATTAAGAGTACTTAAGAGAGAAAAAGGTGAAGGCACGGTGAAAATTCCCAAGAAGGTTTAATTTAAAAAAAAAAAAAGAAAGAAAATACTAACAGAAAGATGCCCCATTTTAAAATAATAGTAATAAAAAATGAAATCTGTTCCCTAAAACAAATTATTCTAAAATTACTGTGATATGCAAAATCCAGTTTAAATAATTTCTTTCTCAGTTCACTGTGTTCATAGGTCTAGTCTCGTTTCTTTAAATAACTGCTAATTTCCCAGCTGTGCTGACAACTGACCTGAAGTCACTTCGGCTCAATGCAGTCTCACTCTTTTCCCCCTTAGGCCAAAGGGGACATTTGTTACACAACAGTAATCCTGGAAAAACAATCCCATCCAGTCCTTTCCATGTGCACAGCATCAGAGAGGAAAAAAAACTACAATAACGTGGCCCAGAATCAAGCTCTTTTCCACACAATAGACTCTGTAAAATCTGTATGCGATAGATTTACTCTGTCTTATTGTCTGCGTGCCACGCTTGATCCCCCACACAAACCATTCTTCGCCTTCTAATAACATCAGTTCCATGAATGTTGGCTCTTAATATCTCTCACTCTCATTTGTAGGTCTTAAAAGTCATTTCAAAACGGCTTTTGTTGATCACAGAGAGCAACTTTTAGTTTAAGATATAAATGGTCCTTTTTCCATACCATTAGGAAGCCATAAGACCATCTTCACTTTGTTCCTGTCAGTAACAGCACAGAGCTGTTCACCTGCAGAATGCTTTAATTAAACGTTGCAGACACGTGCCAGACCGATTCCAGCTGAGGACACCTGTTAGGCCCCGCCATCTTCTGGAATGTCTTTCTCTTTCTGGCTGCTGCTTAAAACGTATCGCCTTCCTGAGGTATCCATGTCTTTGTGGGATCATCAAGGCATCCATGAGTCTCCCGCTGTCCCTGTGCAGTGCAGAGCCCACCGCGTCTGCCTGATCCGGTTTCAAAGGCTCTCACATTCTCCTGCTCTCATCAAACGTAGTAATTACTTAACAAGGGCCACTTAGGGCCCTACAGCTCAGCGGTAATTGATAAACTGTGATCGTCCGTGCAGTAAGTTTGCCATTTGAGTGGTGGGCTTTCAGCAGCCCTCTGTGGGGGAGATGCGAGGAGTGTAAAAATGCACGGCGTGCTGGGATCCATTGATCTTCAGGGGGATAAAAGAAGAACGTGTGTGAGAAGACTTTGTCTCGGTGAAAGGAGAAGAGCAGGTGAGCTGAAATTAGAGAAAGACCCCTGAACTGCCATAATGTTAGCTGAGAATCATCAGCATGTTGAGATTGTGTGCATTCAGGGACACATTTCTAAAACGATTCTCCTAAAACAGTAACAACCAGCATTTAAAGGTGACATATCATGAAAATCGGACTTTTCCAGGTTTTAAGTGCTATAATCAGGTCCCCGGTGCATCTACCAACCAAGGAAACGTGAAAAAGATTAACCCAGTAACTTTGTTTTGGTAAGCCTTTTTCTGCAAGCATCTGAAAAAACGAGCACGTCTGATTTCGCTCCCTTGGTGACGTGGCAAAGGGATCTCATTATAATATTACCGCCCCTTAATCTGCACGTTTCCACCCATGGCGCCGTCATTTTGATTTCGCTGTGCTTCGGATGTGTGCACTCAGAAAACCATATATCAGTTTAAACTAATATGGTTTAAAAAGCATGATTTCAGCGCGATAAACATGATAATCAGAACCAAAACAGATGATTTTTTAGCAGGTTCATGGCGCAGCTCTATTCTGGAAAAGGGGGTGGGGAGCAGCAGCTCATTTGCATTTAAAGAGACAGGCCCGAAAAACAGCGTGTTTCTGCTTCCACTCAAAATAGATATAATATCATTTCAAAATGATATAATAAATGATCTGTGGAGTATTTGGAGCTGAAACTTCACAGACACATTCTGGGGACACCAGAGACTTATATTACATATTGTAAAAAGGGGCATAATATGCCTCCTTTAAGATGAAAGAACTTAAAGACAACTGTACAATGTCTTTATCACAGCCAAATTAATCCATTGCTAAAGTAACATTATCAAAGTGACTATATCAAGAGAGTCTTACAAATGGAGTGTGTCATTTTTACTTATGCATAATATTTTGAGGTGGCTGATTTGAGATCTAAACTAGTAACTCAAAGGTTGAAGGATCAAAATATCAGTGTGTCTATGAGTGTATTTTAAGCATACTTTGGATAAAAGCTTCAGCTAAATAACAAAAGTAAAATACCAAAACCAGCTTATTGTATATTGGTGAATCTTACGGAAACATCTTTAGGTCATATTTCACCTCAAAATCAAAAGAATTTATAATATATTGCGTAAAGAAAATGAAGCAAATTAAGCTTTTAAAGCACTGTGAGATCATTTTGATGAGAATTTAAAGGAACAGTACTACCGAAAACAAGCATATTTCATGATAATATTTGAATTGTGACTGCTATGGACTTTGCATATTGTGTAGGGAACAGACCAAAATTATGACCAAAGTCATAAGCCATCCATAATCCATGATTTAATGACTGAATCACTTCATCAGTGTTTTGAAAACAAGCTTCAACTTGTTTTGAACATGAGAGCTGGATCAATCTGATTTTGTGAATGAATCACTCAGGCTAGTTTTAAAAACTGGGTTCAATCAATTCATTGAAGAGACGTGTGCACTGTGCACAGCAACTTGTTCTCAAATAAACTCATGAATGTACCAAGGACAGTTAGGGCAGATGTCAGGATTTTTTATGAGTTACTTAAATTTCAGTTTGTTCCACAAACTAAGTTACCACATGACTTCATAAGAGTTGAGATATAGCTCTTGCAACATTATTTTGCATTTTTGAACTCCAAGCCTCATATGAAAGAACAGGTACGTGTGTGTGAGTTCTATAAAACACTACGAGCACAGTACCTGACCATGAAAGTATGTGTGTGTTATTTAAAACACTATGAGCGCGGTACCTGGCTGGTGGAGCTCATGAATAACAGAGAGGCTGACAGCCTTATCCCTCAGCAGGCCCGCGGCGTGACAGCACTCCCCGGCCCCACGCACAAGTGCTTAATGGCTAAATTGGGAGACTGTTACTAATCGCTTATTGAATAATGAAAGTGACACAGCTGATAAAAGATTTCAATACTGTAGATTATTTATAATATTTCACTTAAGTGCCTGCCTGACGAATGGGGGCTGGGGAAGAGGCCTGGGCAGCGTCTGACAACGTTCAACCTTTTCAAAAAACGTGAATCAGGGCAAGACAAAGTGGCTCTCCAGGGTTAGGAAAAAGAAAAGGGAGGAGGGAGGATAGGGAAAGAGTAAAAGAAAGATAGTGATGGCGAGAAATAAAGAGGGGGTGAGTGAGGTACATTAATGTAACCCCATTTCTCATAGAAAAATTACCGACCCCTACAGGTCAGAAACGACAAGAAAAATCTCTTTGTTTCAATACAAAAAAATATGAATCCTTCTTCTTCTTTATATTTTCAAATATGAAATGTTTTAAACAGGTCTCCTACAGTAAAGAAAGAAATAGGATAAATTTTCATATAACCCCAGAATATCAATCATAATAATCACAGCTTCATCAACAGATTGTGTGTGTGTGTTTTTTTTGTTGTTGTTGTAATTTTTACATTTTTAAAGAGTTTTTTAAAAAATTTTTCAGATTACACTGGAAAATCAAATGTTAGGTTTAGAGATTTACCATCCAAGACTAAGGCCCAATCCCAATTCTACCCCTTAGCCCTTCCCCTTTCCCCAACCCCTCTGTTTCGCGCGTTCACGTGAAGGGGTAGGGGTGTCATGAGCTGTGCGATATCTGATGTGTGTGTGTGTGTGTCAGTAAGCAGCATTCTTAATATAGAACGGTAATTAAAAGCTCTAATTCACTCCAGCACACCAGTATAGGTGTGTGTATTGTAGGAGCTAGACGACGTATGATGACGTGTGACGGCATAGTAGTGGTGTCCCAATTCTTAGGGGAATATTTTCACCCCTACCCCTTGACACTTTGTTTC